CCCATCCTTCCCGGCAGCTGCTTGGTACGGCCCCGCACGCAGCACGGAGCTGTACGTGCAGGACAATTCGTGTGTGAATGGGGCCTTAGGTGAGATATATTTTTATATATATATATATATATATATATATATATATATATATATATATATATATATATATATATATATACACACACAGGAAAGATGTTGTTGCAAATGCTTTACTGTTTCTCTTTTGAAGAAATATTTCTATTGTTTCGTCATGTCCTTTCTAGACTAAAGGTGCCCATACACCTGCCGATTATCTTACGATAATCGGGGGTGATCCCGTTTCTACTGTACGGTCGCACGTCTTTAGTCTCCCGAGCAGGCTTGAAAACCCGCCGAGAATCGTACGATTTTCGGCGGGTTAGTGGCGTTCTCGGGAGACAAATGCCGCACGTGCTGTTGTGTGCAAGCAGGCTTGCGATGATCGCAAGTACGATCTGCCTGTCCAAGATGGGCAGATCGTACAAGCTTTTAATTACTTTACAACAATTGCACGATTAAAGTCGTGTGATGGTTGTAACGTGTATGGCCAGCTTTATTCCTGAATGAGAGGATCAGCCTTCATTATAACCACCTGTGTACATCTTACTGTTGTAATGAGGAAACCTGCAATGGAGGAATTTAGCAACGACAGAGCAGACAGAATCTGGAGCAGTTGCCTGTAGTAACCAATCAGCTTCTTTCTTCAGTTCGTTCACTTAAGCTTTGAAAATTAAAGAGAGAAACTAAGAGTTGCCAAGGGCAACCGCTCCAGATTTTGTTTACTCCAATTTTTATAAATACTCCTCCGTGTCCATTTTAAAAAGTAGGAAAGACTTAGGGCGGGGTGGGCAACTGCGGACCGTCCAGCTGTTCGGAAAATGCAAGTCCCATGAGGCATTCTAGGGGCTAATAGAAAAAAATATTCACCTGAACCCACAGGCTCTTCGACGTTCTAAGCCCTACTGGCGTCATCACATCTAATACAGCTGCATTAGACAAACTAGGGACAAACCACAGCCGGAATGGGAAAGGGGACCTCAAATAAGAAGCCCAATGAAATGGGATTGTGGCAACTCAATGTTTTTGTGGCTTGTGCTGGTGTTTATCTTTATTTCAGAGCTGCTGCCCCTTTCACCTCAGATGGTTATTTTAGGCGGGAAAAAAGCAACGGTTTTTGAGAAGTTTCTGGAACCTTCTGGAAGGACCTTCCTCACCCTATATATATTGGAGTGCTTTTCCCGGACTCAGTGTCAGTTGTCCGGATCGCAGCACAGCAAGCCCTCCCTTGTCGCGGCAATTTGGTGTGGTTTGTCACCTCAAATCTTGAGGGGGACTAAGTGACATTAAGTCATTTTGAGTCTGCCCGAGTTTTTATGACTGGGCAAGTGGTTGGTTTCATGAATTTAGTTTAATAATTAATGGTTTTACAGTTATTATTTATATTAAGGTTATACCAATAAAATTTGCCAATTTTGGGTGTGTGTCTTTTATTTTATAATGTATAATAGTAAGAAAATGTTGCCTACAATCCCATGGAGGAGGGGTGAGCACTGACCGCCACAGGACTGAGGATCAGGTGAATGTATTTTGTTTCTTTTAGCCCCTAGACTGAAACGAGCAGTGAAAAGCTTGTGCAGCCTCCGGCATAAGCCTGACGTCAGTGGCAGCAAACGAGTTAAAGGAAAACACCACTTTTGTTTAAAGAAGAATACCAGAAAAAAAAAAAAAAAAAGAGAGAACAATGCACCTCCCGGATGGCCGTACGCACAACTGCAATACTATACGTTGCGGTGAAGTAAGAAAAAAAGAAGGGTAGTGCATGCAGTACTTTCTTTCCCGCACCACAATGCGGTACCATGCGTTTTAGCCCACAGCTACCAGGAGTTGCGTTGGGTTGCCATTAATTTAAATGGGGTTTCCATTAATTCATTTGAATTGCACCCCAAAGTAACTCCCATTGGCCGTGCGCTGCAGTGCAGCATGTGGTACTGCAATAACATGCATTGCCGTGAAAAAAGTGCATGCACCGCTTTTTCCCCCCAACCCCAAAGCATGTTATTGCAGTACCGCACGCTGCAGTGCACAGCTACAAATGAATGGCAACACAATGCACCTAGCGCACAGTACCACACACTGGGTGCAGTGTGCAAATTGCATGGTAACATGCACGTGGCGCAATGGTATAGTGTGAACGGACCCTAAGGGTTTACGTACACTTTCTCTTTTCATCTGATCGCAGTGCCAGCAGTCCTGCGCGGAAACTTTAAACATCAAACACGTGGGGAATTCATAAAAACTGGAGCCATTGCCCATGGCAACCAATCAGCATCTCTTTTCAGATAGGTAAATGAAAGAGAGAAGCGGATTGGTTACCATGGGCAACTGCGTACTGTTTTCTACGGGCATGAAAAAGACCAGTAAAAGTGCGCTGCGATCGAATGCGCAAAATCAAAATCGAGAAACCCGCAGCGGAGGTCAATAAATTGATGTGTGTGTGGATATAAACATCGTGAGATTTAGCTTCAAATATTAGAGCTTTAAGGACGCGTCCACTTGCTGAAATCTTCATTTAAGGGCTTCCTTGCCCACTTTTATTAAATTCAATTTCACAAAAACAATGCAGTTACCCTCGCAGGGGTTCTTCAGCATCGCTCAGCAACACAAACGCATGTGCATCCAGCCTCTTGGCTTTGCACTTGCAGCACCGCTGCTCTGGCCTCAGTCCCCAAGCCATTCCTCCAGACAGCCTCAATCCTGTGCCAACCTGCACACTTGGTTTTCGCAACCGGCAGCTCCCTCCTGCTCTGGACTCCACTCTGACTTCTGGGTGGAGGGTCGGTTCACACCACAAACAGCGCGTTCCAGAGCGGTCAGCCTCTGGAACGCACTGTATCGCAACCCAGCCGGCTCCCTGCGTTCAGGGGCAGTGCATTAAATTCAATGGCACCGCAGCCATGCAAGCACTATTTTAGCAGATCACACCGGACCTGAAGGCAGGCACTAATGGCGTTCAGGTGCGGGCAATCGCACTGCGAACGCATTGTATTGCAACCAAGCTGGCTCCCTGCGGGAGGGGGCGTGGCGGTGCATTGAAGTCAATGGCAGCGCAGCCACGCCCCCTCCCGCAGGGAGCCAGCTCGGTTGCAATACAACGCGTTCCAGAGGCTGACCATTCTGCAACGCACTGTTTGTTGTGTGAACTGGCCCGGGTCTTCTCGTCTCCCAGGTGGAGCCCTCAACACTTCCCAGCATCGTCACCTTAGCCCTCATTCACACTAGAAAAGGCCGGCACATACAGCTCAGTGCGGTGTGCACGGCCGTATCGGGCAGCTCCCGGGAAGGACAGGTGCTGCGTGTGATTAGTAAGGGCTCATTCACACAGGAATGCACAGCCGCTCATTCACACAGGAATGCACAGCCGCATGTGCACCCCTGCAGAGCCCTGCTACCAGAAGGGATAGGTGCAGCGTGTAAATGCGTGCAACCGCCTGTACATCGCCATGGTTACATGCTGACCCGAGCCTGCACATGCGTGCAGGTCCGGGTACATGCACTGGGGCGCAGACTGTGTGATGCACGCCCGTGTCAATGAGCCCTAATATAACTTTCTGAACACATACAAGCACTTTACTGACTATTTCATGCGTTTTCTTTCTGCCCTCCCTAGACGTACGTGCAATCGAACGATCCACGCGTACATCTTTGCGGCTCTTTCCTAGCGGAGACTGTTATCCAACCATCGTCCGAGACCTAAAAGGGTTAAAAAATAAGAGCAAGGCATACGTAATGGACGCGAACATTAAAAGGATAAGTGCGCAGGGCGTATTCCCTGAAAGTGCTGAGGACAGCGTCAGTCCCGTCTGTCTCCATGGCTGACATACCCTAGATGCTCTATGCGATCATCTAGTGTCATGCTGGGAGGAGGCCAAGCAATGAGCTGGGATGCCCAATCATGTGACGCTGCCAACTCCCCACCCAGGGGGGGAGGATGGACCCCTCTGCCAGCCTGGAGGAGGCCAACCCTTGCAGCTGGCTTTACACTGACACCAGCAGCAGCCATCACACCCTGCTCTGCTCTCCCAGATTATCCAACTTCCTGTTTCCTTCTGTGACTCAGCCTGTGCACCTGACATACACAACAACACCCTGCCGACTCCACCACACCATCTGAGAGCATAGACAGCCGGCCAGAGCTGAGCACAACCACCAACCCAGCTAAATAAACAGCCCCCTCCTTTGCCAAGCCATCCTACACTCCCCTACAACACACTCCTCTGTCACTCGCACACAAGTTCTCTTCCAGTGAACATCAGGCTGCAAATGTATGGGAAGTCACAATGAGAAGAGACTGGGAGAGGGATTCATCATTGCATGCCAGACACTGCTACAGCACAGGATTGCTCCTCCATTGACGAAGAGCTGGGGCTTACCTGTGCATGCAGAGGGACAACTGATGTACTGAGCTACAGGGCAAAGCATCAATCTTACCTGTGCTGGGATTCATTGATCAGATTCCCCTGTGCTGAGTTTCATTGATTAGACTCTCCTGTGCTGAGATTCATCAATCAGATTCACCAGTCGGGCTGAGATTCATCGATCGGACTCTGTACTCGCCTGTATTGAAGTTTATTGATTCATCATTGCACACTGGACACCCATCGATCAGATTCACCTGTGCAGAGATTCATCATTGCACACTGGACACCTATCAATTGAACTGACCTGTGTTGAGATTAATCTCTCAGACTCACCTGAGCTGAGTTTCATCGATCGGACTTACCTGAGCTGAGTTTCATCGATCGTACTTACCTGAGCTGAGTTTCATCGATCGGACTTACCTGAGCTGAGTTTCATCGATCGGACTTACCTGAGCTGAGATTCATCAGCTGGACTCACCTGTGCCGAGATTCATCAAACGGACTCATCCTGAGCTGAGATTCATCGGTCACGCTCACCTGAGCTGAGGTTCATCAATCGGACTTGTGCTGCACCCACTTACTTGAGCTCATGGCTACCGGGGAGGTTCGCTACTGTTCCAGGTTCCCCTACCTGTGCCTGAAGTTTACCCTCATCGCATACAGCACCATTTTCTGGGTGAGTTGCAGGGGGGCTCTTTGTAAAAAAATAAGTGTGTGTATATAAATGTAGGTATACCAAGCTACATGCAAAGTGTGGTTGCCTACGTATTTTGCTAGTGTGCACCTACAAGATTCTATTTGCCGCAGTTTACATGCTACACGGGTGGGTGATTATTGGGAAATTGGTTGTTAGAAGTTAAAGGCATTTTCCACTTTTTGTAAAAAATAAAAAGTTGCACCATGCTGCTTAAAAAAAAAAAGTTTTTGCATTGGAGCCTGCAAAGCATTGCAACCACATTTAGGCCTCATTCACTCGAGAAAAGGCCGGTACCTACAGCACGGCCGTATCGGGCAGCTCCTGGGAAGGACAGGTGTTGCGTGAGATTAGTACGCAGTCCCTGTCCTTCTCTATAGGAGTCCGCGGCCGTACGCTGCCCCACGCTCACCCCAAGTGCAGGTCCGTGCGGGTGTCCCGGCTCGGACGCAGACAGGATCCATCCTGCCAGCGTACGAGTACGGACACCCGCAGCCGGACAGACGTGCAGGGCGGATGAGCGTAGGGCGGTGTACGGCCGCGTACACTCCCAGAGAGGACGACAGGGGCTCCGTACTAATCGCATGCAGCGCCTGTCCTGTCCGTCCCGGGAGCTGCCCGATACGGCCGTGCACGCAGCACGGAGCTGTAAGTGCCGGCTTTATCTCATGTGAATGAGGCCTTCGGCTCCTGCAGACTATTCTTCCAGCCCTAGGTACATACCCAGGTACGACCCTTCTGGCTGGAGGTAGTAATCAGTGGTTACACCATCAGACTTGTAATCCATTGAGAAGCATGAATCCCTCTGCTGCAGTGACGGATGGGACTTGTAGTTTCTCCATTGATGGTGCCTGTGAATGGATGATGCGGGTGGAGACACGCATCGCTGCACTAAATAAAAAAGAAAATATGCAGAGTACTACAGGGAAATGAACCCCTCATTTCAGATAGGAGGGGGGTGGTGGCGGGATGGCTCCATGTTGCATCCAGTATAGGTGTAACATGAATCCGGGTATAAGAGGTGGAACTGGCCTTTAATTGGGGCTCATTCACATCACAAGCATGGCAACGCACTGTATATGTGTGCTGCGGTTCATTGCATTCATTCTTAATTTAACCACAACGCACAGGTAAGTCTGAACTCCGGAGAAGAATTAAAACTAACTTCCCACAGCAAATTTTTAAAAATTCTTCTTGCAATATCTGCCTGAAATCTGCTTTATGATAAGCAGCCAGCAGTGCTTGGCTGCTTCTTACCACTTCATAGGCATAAGCATGTTTGCTTGGTTGATCCGGACCTACATTTCTATGGACCAGGAGACCAGTTCTTGGGGGGGAGCCTGCTTGTCCATCAACCTTATAGGTGTATGGCCAGCTTTGGACACTGACATCCATCCCATTCATTCCACTTCCATGACCACATTGCGATCCTTGGAACCTTATTTTTCTGTGGCTCCATGTTTGAAGGGAGTACCAGAGCTGCGTGATCTATTCAATGGAGTGCCATAGGAGGCTGCAGTTGGAATTTTTAGACCCGCACACACATACTGGGGTCAGCACCAGAGCCGCATGATCCATTCAATGGAGTGTTACCAAGGTCTGCCATAGGAGGCTGTAGCTGGAAGTTTTAGACCCGCACACATACTGGGGTCAGCACCAGAGCCGCATGATCCATTCAATGGAGTGTTACCAAGGTCTGCCATAGGAGGCTGTAGCTGGAAGTTTTAGACCCGCACACACATACTGGGGTCAACAAACTACCAGCATGTCTGTGGAATGTGATAGGAAACGAGCACAAGCAGAATGATGATCATGTTATACCGCCATCGCATGACATTAGAGTTTTGTTTAGTTTTTTTTCATAAGGTAGCCTGTGCAGTCAAGGGATCCGAATAGATGTAAATGTGCCGTGTTGCAAAGAGAACTTTTGCTTAAAGTACAATGAAACCTTCAGGGTTTTTTGCATATATCCACTGCTGGCAAGCTGTAGATACTGTATATGCAAAACATTAAGAAAAAAAAAAGTTACCAAAAAGGTAATTACTTACCTGTGTCTCCACCGTGCGCTCCCGTCCGAAGTTCTGAAGATTCTCGAGCGGCCGTGGAGGATCATGGGGCATGCGCAGTAGAGATCTTCAGCCGGGAGAAGAGGAGAGACACAAGGGTAAGTCAATGCAGGCGGCCCGGCAGCGTGCAGGCGTACAGACACCGTGGGACACAGAAGACGCGGCAGTCAGCGCTGGATCAGAGACCGGCACCAGGACTGGAGGGACTCCGGAGATCTATTGGAAAGAAGAAGATGATTGGATCAAGAGGCATCATTTAAAGTAAGTCCTTACACCAGCATGTGTCACTTTAAGTTAGGTTGCATGCCTGCAGGCCTTGTTGGTTCCCACTGAAGCCTGTCAAAAAGAACTGCTAGTGGCAGCTCAGCCCTTCCCGTCCTGTTTCCAGGATGCTACATCCGTTGGACGCTCGCCCCTCAGCATCAGAGGAGCAAGCACCATTCTTATACCAAGTCCCCACATACACAGTGCATTCTCTCTCTATAGCAGCAATGCTGAGCTCAGTCACTGATGCTGGAGGAAGAGAGGGTGCGCAATGCATGGCCTGCAGGTATTATTATACAGGATTTATACTGTATAGCGCCAACAGTTTGCGCAGCGCTTTACAATATAAGGAAGACATTACAATCACAATACAATTCAAGACAAGATGGTAAGGAGGGCCCTGCCCCTGAGGGCTTACAATCTAAAGGGATGCAATTTTAAGTGTATTGCCAAATTGGGATAACACCTATAGTATTTTTGTTACGTGTCCCCATCCATAATGCAAAAAAAATGCTGCTTTCATTTTTAAGTGCTTAAAGAGGAACTCCATGAATTTAAAAAAACATACCCTTGTATTGGGGCTGCCCCTGCACTGTACCCCTTAAGTGCTCATTTTGTCTAGGGGCTGGAATAAAGCAGATATACTTACCTGATCCTCAGTCCCACAGGTCTGCTAGACCGGACCCCGCAGCCTCTTCTACCCTGGGCTCCGATGGTCTAAGGACCACTGATGTCATTACATCTAATGCAGGTCCCATTCCAAAAGTGGAAATGCACTTTAAATTAAAGTGCAACGGAAGCCACAGCTTTTTTTCTCTCTTTTGGATGGAGTGGAGCGGGATTAGAACATCTGTCAGGATTTTATTGCTGCCTATGCCGCCCCCCATTATGGACATTCACCCTCTCTGTTTGTCCTGGTGACTGAAAGTGGAAGAGAGTCCCAAATTTTGGGTTTTCACCAGAACAGGAATAGAGGGGAAATCTTCCACTGGGAAACCTGCTGTCCAACAGGGGATTTCACCTGGAACGCAGTTCATTCTGTTTTGCAGCGATTTTGCCACATTCCGGGCCATTCTTTTTTTCTTTTAGCTTAAAATGAGCTTTCAGGTTCATTCCAGTGCGTTTCAGTGCATTCCAGACCAGACAAAATGAGACATGCAGGGCAGGTTAAACCACTTTTCCGGACCAGATCTGGATAGCAGTGCATTGTTCCACGTTTTTACCACAATTTTTTTTTGCGCTTAAAATGGGCTTACAGTGCGTTTGTGTTTTTGATGCATTTCCATGCGTTCCAGTGCATTCCAGACCAGACAAAATGAGACATGCAGTACTTTTCTGGTCTGATCTGGAACGGACTGCTCTGTTGTGAACAGAGGTCAGAAATAGCATAGGGATACATTCGGAGGCATTTTGGGTCCGGAAACAGTCTGGTCTGGTCTGGAGATGATGTGGTGTGAACCGGCCCTCAGGGTTTTTATGTATTCTGGTGAATATACATTCCTGGAGATTAGGCCCACACAGTATGAATGCACAGCTATAGAAATTGTGTATTTGTTACATAGAGGCACGACCTGCACTGGACAAGCTGATAAAACTAGACAGACCAGTTTTATGAGGTCTTGTAACCTGATGATTGCCTTTTGAAAGCTAAAGATACGTTTTTGGTTTTTTTATGCACATATTATGTAAGCTTGGCTACATTAGTGTAAAAGATTTGAAATTTATTTCTATCTTTGCAGCCATATATGGATAACACTTCCTTTTACATTTGCTACATTTTCCCATTCACAAAGCATAGTGTATTTAAAAACTGCAGCTTACCTTTTATTATTGATGATTCTGCAAATTTCAGGACTCAAAAATCCTGCTTCGTTCTCACTAAATTTTGTTTCAAGTTTCCCTCAACTAGTGAGAACTAAGCAGGATTTTTCAGTCCTGGAGTTTGCAGTAACATCATCAATAAAAAGCTGAGATGCCATTTAAAATGCATATGTTTGCAATGGAACGTAGGTGTTATTCCAATTTGGCTGCAAACGTGTGAAAACTGTCCTAACAAAGGGTTAAAGACCTGTAGACATTGTATGCTAATGAACTTTTGTGTTAATGGAATTTTTCAAAAAATCTGTCCCTTAGTCTGTCCCACTTATCTGCTCAAAGACATCTATTCTAACCATTAGACGCTGCCTTCAGAGTAGGGATGAACAGATACTGGTTTTTCAGTATCGAGTATGAGTATCGATGTATAATTCTTTCGGCACTCGCAGATACCGAATACCAATACCGGAAGTCCCATTAAGGAAGCCAGGCGGTGTGTAAAGACTTACCACCCGGCTTCCCGATTAGCAGGGAAGCCATCTCCATGCTTCTCGTCACTAGGTGACAAGAAAGCATGTAGCCGGCTTTCTGACCAATCGGGAAGCCGGACGCTGTGTAACGACGCCCGGCTTCCTGATTGGCCGGGAAGCAGGCTCCATGCTCCCTCGTCATGAGGTGACGAGGGAGCATGAAGCCGGCTTCCCGACGCATCAGGAAGCCAGGCAGCGTGTAATAACACAAGTGACGAGGGAGCATGGAACCGGCTTTCCGACCAATCGGGAAGCCGGGCAGCGTATAATGACTCGCTGCCCGGCTTTCTGATACCGGAAGCTGAAG